TTTTCAAATTAATCTAAACTAATTATAATTTTGTGATAAAGACACTTAATTTATTTTGATATAAATCAAAAAATTAAAAACACATTTAATAAGGTTTATGATGATAAACACAAGAAATATATGTTTCCATTAAATTTTCAAAGTATCATTAAATTTAAAGAAAAAAGTGTTTTAAAATATCAAACTTCATTATGAAATTTCAAAATAAAAAATTATACTTCAACTTATTTTGTATTTATTTTTGAATTTACATTGTAAAGTTTAAATTGAAAATATTTAAAAAATTTTTTTGAAACTTTTAATCATTAGTATGTTCAAGTACAAAAAAATTTTGAAAATCCACTTTTTTTATTGCAAACATTTCCTGCGGTTACACCCATTTTTAGAAAAGTTTTGTTAAATTAAAGGAGACTATCGTATTTCTATTGTATTCCTTACTTATCTCATTCACGATTCAGGAAAAAATCATAATTATATATATAGTAGCATACAGGATTAGAAAAAACTATCGTTTTCATTAACAAAAAGAACAAAAAAATGGTCAATTTCAAAGAAAGGAAGAAAGGTCAACATGAAATTTGAGAAATCATATATTTGGACAACCAAATGGGTATCCAAAACGATTATTCATTGTGAATTGTGAAAATTGTGCGGCTGAGGTTGAGACAAAATCCTTTGAAAGAAGAAATAAAATACGAGAAAGAGAACAAGGGAAAATTTCTCCGTATATATCTCAACCACAATGATTGAGATTGAGGAAGTTAGTTTCGTCGTCTGCACTTTTCTGTCTTTTTATTTTATTTTTTACGATTGACCCGCGGCCGCTAAATTACGGGGTCGCGACGGATCAAGCGGAAGCGAAACCTTCGGGTGTCATTCGAGCATTTCAATGGCTGTTCCACGACGTTGCAGGATAAAGAAAATAAAAAAAGCGAGAGAGATAAAAATCGAGGATAAAAAAGTATTCGATCGGCTTCAATCAACGGGTCCATTGTCAGCACAAGCGATAATTCGAGAGTAAAGAGAACATTCTCAATGTTTCCAGTTACTCTTATTAATTATTCATGAATCAAATTTTTTTCGATCGTCATTATCATTATTTCGTATTTTATTTTCACGGTTTATTGATAAAATGTTTTCTCAATCAGACGAACTGTTCGTTGAAATTTAACATTCAATTTTTTTTCATTCAACAATTGATCGTTGCATTAGATTCATTTCAGTGCTCTTTGAATAAATTTCCAAACATTCAATTGCCAGCTTTGTTTACTTTCTTCTTCACTTCATAAAGCAATACCTAGCCTGCTAAGGGCTTTAAATTTTTAATTACTCAACCCTTATTCTACAAACGATAAAGTTCTATTTATCGAGGTGCGAATTCACTTAATTATTAAATCAATTTCAGTATAATTGAATCTATTTAAACTTAATTACTTGATCTGACTAATGTCCCTTAATATTTTTCTACATGTTTATTTATCTTAAATCCTTTTTTTTTTACTTCAATTTTCGCGTTTATATTACGATTCGCCTATATATACTTTTGCTTGATATTGAAAATAAAAGTACGCAGAAACCATCTCAAAGAGTTTTTCTTCATCCTCTTAATGCATAGGAGTAAAAATGGTATGGGAATGAAAACCTTTGTGGTAGTCGATGTTAGCGGGCTGATTTCCGTTTAACTTTTTTTTTTTTAGAGTTCTTTTATTTTCTTTTGTATTACACTTCTATCATCTTTTACAACGTTCAAATATAAAATAAATAATTTTTAACACGGAAGCTGTAATAACTTTTTGTGCTTTATAAATGTGCTATCTAATTATTTTTTACTGTAAAAGCTGTAAATTTATTCAAAATCATATTTACAAGATTAAATTATCAATTTAAGTCCAAAAATGTAATTTAAAATTCTAACTTTATTTTTTTTTAATTTATTTTGCTAAATGTTTTTAAATTTAAATTTAATTTTGAAAAACTAAAAAATATTCCATCTTAAATTAAATTTTTTTCCAAATCATTCATAATAAGACATACGGCACAAAATAAAATTTATTGACAAAAAAATATTTCTCTTTTTTCTCCCTCAAATCATTTTATTTATGCACCAAAAACCGTCAACTAATCATTAAATTCTCATAAAAAATTGATAAAAATCCAAAACTTTTAAAAATTAAATTTCACTCCCCAATTCAAGTTTAAAATTTTTTCCCACAAATTGCCAGTATTAAAAAAAGGGTTAATATCAGAAAAGTTTATAATTTTAAAAAAAATCATTGAATGACAGAAATAAAAACCAAACATGGCATCGATGGTTCTACCCTTTCCTTCTATATAATATTTCCACCCTACTGACTAGTGACTATCGAATGCGAAACATGTCGCGTACGCCTTATTCTGCTCTCCCTTCGACTTTGCCGGAAAATCCACCCCTTTTCGGGCGGTCGATACTAAGGACGCTTCGCCATAGCTTCGACCGCATACCGTCTTTCACCACCTACTTCACAGCCTTCAGCCTTGCTTTTTCTTTCTACCACCCTACACTCTATACATATAATACCCCTGTATATACTACCTACCATACATATCCTTTTTGCGCACATTCTTCATTCAAAACTACACCACCACACGTGATGGCGCCACTTGTAGTGCCCTTTTTTATTAAAAATCTTTCTCATCTAATATAAAGATAACAGCTAGAACAAGCTCATTAAAAAACTCTCAACCCAATTATATTATTCTATTTTATTTTATGTTCAATAAAAAAAATAATAAAACTGTAAGTTTAATTTTAACTACAATTATATCAACGGTAATATTAACACTTACAACAATATACTTTATAGTGGACCATAAAAAAATTACAGATTTTTTTATGGACCAATTATAACCAGAAGAAATTCTCGCTTGATATTAAACTTTAAAGACTGCGCACTATTAAATTTTATCTTTATTATTTACGTAAAATTTATTGGAATATTAAAAAAGTTTAAAAATAAAATTAAAAGTGTAATGATATGACTGAGAAAAATATATTCAAATTTGATTGGTAAAACTATCGACATGGACATGGATATGGAGGTTTTTGTGGGGACTCGCCCTCGTGATTCCAAGTAGGTGGGCTTCTAGCCAGGTAGCCGAGGAGATAACACCCTGAGATTACCGCGGACAGAGTCATTAGCCAAGTCGGCTTCTGTGTGGACACTCTCTGTCCTTTTTATCCAAACACTCTCAGGTTGTTTATACACGCCGAGAATTTTTGATAATATTTAAAGGAATTTAGTTCCCTTTTAATTTATAACTTTTGCATAGGGTATCGAGCAGTGATCATCCAAGTGATGGGTCATTTTAATCTTTAATTTCAACCTTCATTTATGCATTAAATCTTTATGATATATTCGAAGTTTTTCACATTATGGCTGCCCAATTTCAAAACACAGTAACTAACATTTAGAAATTTTTTTTAATTTTTCTTATTAAAAAAAAGTTTGCCTGCCAAATTGATGAAAAATTTAATTTATGAATAGAAAATACTTGAATGTAAATATTAAAAAAAAAAAAAATACGTGAAATTAAGGTCTAAAAGTTATAAAAATTGCAGCAATATTAAAAAAAATTAGGTATAAAAATTTTGCAGACTGTGTTTTAAAATTGAGCAGCCGATTATTTAGTTCCCGTCTCAGAAAAAACTAAATTTTGATCAATTTTAGAATTTTTTTTCTTAAATAAATTAAAACAAAAAAAATTCACATGAAAAAAATGAATACAGTTTTTTTTCAATTAATTTTCAGCAATAATTTATTTGGTCAACATTAGTTTCAAAAAATTTGCAGAGGTGTATTTTAAAATTAAAAAAAAAATTATTAATGGAGAAATTGAGTTATTTTTTCCAAAAATTTTGCATATTTTGTCGACTGACAGTTTACCGTATTGAATAAACCAAAAAGACAGAAACAAAAAATAAATAAAAGAAGAAAAAAATTAATCGTGCCGGTGGCATTTAGCTATAGTGTTGATAGGCTAATGACAAACGCGTAGATTAGCCTTATCTACCCGACACTAATTATTTCCTCTTTGTATAATGCCGCCTTGGTCACTTACGATTCACTAGCAAATGGCGCTGGGATATATATTTTATTTATTACCATTATATACCATTCACATCCTTTTTTCTTTCTCCGTTGCTTCATTTTAGTGCTCATACTCTTCATCTCGTTTTATCTCTGTCGGATTCGAGGTTCAAGGTGCTTATGAACATACATTTTTATTCCTCTTTTCATTATTTTTTATCATACGTGCATTCGATTTTAGTATTTATTTTTTTTTGCATTTTTGGTGTGAAGTAAACATTTATATTCGTTGAAATATATTTTTCCCATGGGTTCAATTCGAATTGGATATTCTGTTGGTTGTTCAAAGGAATATTAATGTATTCACACGGTAAATTTGGGAAATTTAAATGGAATTCTTTTTTTTTTTTTTAAGAGATATCTTGATCAAAGTCGAAGATAAGTTTGATCAGCTGAATAATATTAGAATAACTCGGGTCGGTTGAAACTTATTAAACAGTTTTCGAAAAAGATCATTTTTAGTTAGTTAAGCATATAATTAGTTGAAGGAGTTAAAGGTTAACTTAAAAATGGACATAAAACTTTATGTTTGCTTAAATTAAAGTTTTGTTTAATTTTTATCGCTGTAATTTATTTTTTTAATTAAAACAAACAGGTACTTTTAATATTTTGGTGTTCAAAAATCTGTTTTTAAATTTTTATTAATGAAAAATTGTATTTAAATAAATTTTATATAATTATGGTGCAAAAGCAATTATCATGATGTCCTTCCTATGATCCACCTTACTAATACTAATAAAGCAGTATTGATTATATTAATTACTCTCGTAATATCAAATATTATTGCTATTACGAACTATTAATTGAATTACTAATATTAATTGAAAAAAAGTGATGCAGTTTATCCCATAATTCCTTTTTAAAATTTTTCAGACGATACTAAATTCAATGCATAAATACCAGCCGAGGTTTCATCTTGTGCGAGCGAACGATGTCCTTAAACTGCCGTATTCAACGTTTAGGAGTTACGTATTCAAAGAAACAGAATTCATCGCCGTTACAGCTTACCAAAATGAAAAAGTAAGTAGCTAAACAAACAAGAGTACCTTGTTATTTATTGCCGTTTTTTTTTTTTTCAAGTTATTTATTTCTCAAGAAATTATTTTAGTATTTTGTCGTACCACTTGATTTTTTCAGAAAACCTGCAAGTAGTATTAAATATTGACTTCTGTCGGCGAAAGTTAAACAGTGAACGGTAAAAGATAAAGATGAAAAAAAAAGGACAGTTCGAAAAAATATCTTAACGTAAGGGCAAAGTTTTATGAGACACCTTGGAGTCGTTCCAAGAGTTTTGTACAACTACTATACCAAACTGTCATCAAACTTCTTTTGATTTTTTTTTTTTTTTTTTTCCCAGTTAACCTTTTCTTGTCAAATCGATGAAATTCAATACAATTGCTTCTATTTTTTTACACTAAAATTCACAATTTTGATTTCAACGATTTGATTGCTGATAATTAATCTGCTTTTAAGCTCTACCCGAAACTTTTAAAAATATTTCAAGCTATTAGCGCCTAAAAAATTTTTGTAGAAAAAAAATTTCTTGATTTTAACTTCAAAACATTTCTTTTAATAAAAATAAAGTTTTCTTAGTTTACAGTTTTTAATTTAACTCCTAAAAAAAAAGACAATAAATAAATGAACTATGAGGAAATTATTTTAAATCTAATATATGATGAATTTGATTTTTTTTCTATTTTAATAAAATTAAATTAGTTTTTTTATTAGTGAATTTTATTGCTAATAATAGATTATTGAAACAAAGAAATCAATTTTTCCATAATTTATAAATCAATCCATCCATAATTTGAATGCATATTATCTATATGTCATATTGAAATCGATTTTATATAGGTTCTAACGCAGCCTTGAAATTACCAACGCTTATAAATACGTAACTCGATTGTATTGAAATAAATCTAAAACAATAACATATAAATTTATATTTATGCATCTTTACATACAGGTATAATACATAAAGTTAAGTTATACAGTATACAGTCGTTATACGTATCTATCTTTCTCTCTACTCCCTTTGTGGTTATACATAAATAGTACAATTCCTTTTCCTTTCTTATCGAATTACAATATTACATACACATAACTATAATGGCGTTGGTCGTAACTATTTATTGTTATCAATTTATAAGATCTCTGCTTAATCACAGAATATTTTTCATAAATTATGACAAAGATTTTACTTTTTGGTATTTGAGTATATAGGTCTATTTTTATTAATTATTTAAGAATTAATGGAAATATCTATTATGATTATGGCAGTGCTTATTATTTAATTATTGTATGTATTTAGTTAATAATATTATATTAGTGTTACTTAAGGTATGATTAAATTAGGAAATTAAACGTGTGAGAATTTATTTTGAAGCCGAGAAAGTTTAGCGAGCAGAAGAAAATCGTTATAAAAGAATTGTTAAAGACTGAGAAATTATTCTAAGTCACAAGCAAGTTTTAGTATGGGAAAGCTGCGAATGGATATAAAATGAAAGAATGGACGATTAAAATAATAAAGAATTGTGAATTCGATGCGGCGAATGGATATAAAATGAGAGAATGGACGATTATTATTTTAAAGAATTGGGACTTGGAAATAAAAACTTAGAATTTGGTGAGACGAATGGATAGAGAATGAGCGAAATTGCGATTAAAATAATAAATAATTATTTTAAAATGCTAGTTCAATGACGTCGGATAGATGGCAAAAACGATCATTCCGGTTCGTGGTAAGTGAGTTTTTGGGAAAGTAATAAAGTCCAAAATTTTATCACGGAAAAGCGAATTCTTTCTCCGGAGAATTACTCGGGCGAATACTCTTCACCAAGTAATTCTAGAGGATGATACTCTACCTGGAGTCTTACCAAGACCCAGGTAGGTATCAGGGACCGACCGGATGAAAGTGCGACTCCCCGTGCCAAGGCCTTCAGCTGAGGTACGGTAGGTGATCATAAGTCGTGTAGATGGGAGAGATAGGGATACACTCCGATCTCTCTCTGGGGTAGTTCGGTAGGCGAGGGTGAGGCGGATACACTCCACTCATTCTCGAAGGGAGGTTGGGTGATTTAGGGGTTTTGCACCTTAGACCGCGTTTCCTCTCTGGGAGGGAAAAATAGACTCCACCGGGACCGTGTATACCGTACAGAGACTAGTTTTGACCGCGATAATTGTTGTACGCCGCGGCCATCTTATTGGTATTACGCCATTTTGTATACTTGTGTGTGTGATACAACGTTACTCTGTTTGAACTATATATATAAATTTTGTTTAACTTAGTTTGATGTATATATTCTATTTTTAAAAATACAGAACTTTTATTTAGTTAAATACGAATATTTTTATTTAATTGGACACTTTGTGTATTTTGATTTAATGACCGAGATTATTCCCTTTTGTTTTCAACCCTGGACTCCGGCGAGCTCTATATCGAGCCAAAGGGGATAAAATTGGGAAAAATTGCCCGTTACAAACT